CGCCTCGCCCGCGTCCCGCTCTGGCAACGCCTCCCCGCGTCTCCCCTGCTACACCCTCAGCCGCCCCTTCCTTCTCTACTTCTTTTCTCCCGCCGCCTCTTCTTGGCTCCCGCGGCGCCGGCGCCTTCCCCTGGCCCAGGCGGGGCGCCTCGGCTCCCTGCAGAGCTCTCCGTAGAGTCTGGGGGTACATTTCGTTCTAGCGGAGAACCAGCTCCGAGCTGGGCCAGAGGTGACAAGGGAGCTTCTGCCCCGAGGACCGGGGAATGCGAAGGGTAAGACTGGCAGAGTTGCATTTGGAAATACTTTTTCTGCCTCCCGCCCCCTCGGGTGCTGACCAGTGTGGTCCCCAAGTGTCCTTCGTGGAGTTCTTACTCAGGTCAAACGAATCGTGCGTCGATGTTTACTTAGCTGTGTCGCCCCAGCCTGTTAACTGTTGTCTGTGCTACTTCTGGAGATTTCTACCATTTACTATTTATTGAATGTGTGTGCACCTGGCTGTCTGTATGCACTGATGTCTGTTTGTAGAAAATGTGTAATTGTGCATGTTTGAGAAACAGGCGCTCGAGTTGATGCTTAATGTCTATAAACCATATCAGCAAGTAAGGCTTCCTAGAGAAATACATCAATCTCTACATCAAACCTAGAAACCGTTTAAAATAAAATGTTAAATGTCATGTAAAAAAATGTATGTCGAATAATAAACTTTTGATATAGAAAAAGACAACTGCAGAAGCCGCTTCTCTTAGAAGGAAAACAAATGTGCAAAGTATTTAATACCTACATTTGAATTCTAATAGAACCATTTAACTCAAAGCTAGCCATCAGGTGATTAAAGTTGATGTTGGATTTTTAAAAGACATCTCTTGATAAGACTCACAAATCACAAATGGATCACCTCCGGTGTGCAAATGTTTGCTGTGATAGGCAACGCTGTCCTTTGGTCATTTGAAAGTTTAAAAGCAATATGCATGTTTCTGATTTTAATAGGTCATTTATCTCTTTAAGATTTTTAAATTGAACGGATGAGGGGAAAATGTAGCAGTCTATTAATCATATTGTCTCTCATGTTTTTTATTTCCTTCCCAATAAGAGCTAATCTTGGCTTTGTTTGTTTCTTGGCACATTAAGCCTTCTTGGGCATTTAATCCAATAAGAGATTAGAGCATATTTGCTGGCTTTAAAGGTGTTGAAAGATAGCGCTATGGGTCACATAACTTCTTATTTTTATGAGCACGGTGATATCTTTTGAACAATGGTGGAAATGCAATTTCTTAGAAGAAAGTCAGTGGACATTGAGTATCCATGGACTCACTACTGACATCAATCTATTTTGCAGAAAATCGAGAAGCTCAGAGCAACCAACCTTTAAGGATCCCATAGGACTTTATCTGATTTAAAGTGTTGCTTCTCTAATCCCACCCTTCTGTCAGTTTGAAAGGGAAGATATACTGATTGATTTTTCTCTGTCCTTTTTTTCCCTGGTACTCCTTTCCCCTCCCCCATGCTCTAACTCAGTTAAGAGCAGTTTTATAAAAATAAAAGGCCATGCATAGTTTCTTAAATGAGACATGATTTTTTGAGTGCATCCATACATGAACAGAATACATGCATCTCCAAGATACTAAACACTGCATGCTGGAGGCAGTTGTCTGTAGTCACAATAGCAGTTCCTGTAGTTGGACAAGAGGCTTGATGTTGGACATGCTGCTTAAAAACTAATGTATTTTAGGTTATCAGGAGAACTAACTGTAAACAGACTCTTTTTGTTTCAAAGATGTCTCCCATTCCAGGCCAGGAGCACTCTTAGTGAGGTATGTATCAAATCTAATGAGAAGAGGTCTCATTGTGTTCCCAAGCCCACATTAGGGGGAAATAATGTCACATAGTGGAAATGCTCAGTTTTGGCCTTTCAAAAATAAAATTACTATGCTTGCATTCTCCTGGTTAGGAAGACAAATTAGGCATCTATACCCCTGAATTTTAATAGCATCTATCTATCTATAAGTGAGTGCTGTGATTAGAACCTTAAGTCATGCGTGATATTTAATTTAGTACATAAAGTTTTAAATTCTGGTGAAAATCAGATCTCACGTTGGAGTAGTACTTGGCTTTGTTTGTAATCCACTGTTTTCTGTCTTTTTCTGTTACCCTTTTCCCAGTGGACTGTGTTCCTCTATGTCTTGCCTGTGAGATTGCTCTTCTCTAATAAGCATAGCTGCAGGATCAGTGTGTTCTTTTTGGCATTTCAAAATGTTAAAATAGTGAAATTGTTAAATGTTACTAAGATGAAGCTGCTGGGAAGGAAACCTTCCAAAAGAGCCACTATATTTGGGGCATTTTACATTTTATTCCTAAAGCAAACTCTTTGAATCGGTTTACCTATTTTCTCAAGAAGGAAGCAGCTCCATTGATTCTGTTGATAAGTGTTTAGTATGCAGTGTCAGCTTATTAATTACTAAGGCAAAGCCTGAGATACTCTTTCAAACCAATCAAATGGTGTTCTTCTTTGCTTTGATTTAGAACTAACATTAACCATGAGGAAATTTAACCAGGCTCCTTGGTTGTCTTATACTAGTTTTTGGAATTAGTATTGGAATTGAAATACTTTGCTGTGTAAGAATAAACTGTTGTGACACCGAACTTATAATAGCAGTTTAGAGTTCACCACGCTTACCAAATGTTTCTTCCCAGAAAACACTTGGCCTAATAAGAAAAGCGATTGTTTCCCTTAACTAGCTATCCAGGAATGCTGCAAGAAAAAAATAAGTAAATAAAAAATAACGAATTGAATTTAGAAATACCTAACAATGCATAATTAATAAAATAAGATTTGGTTGTAGCTTCTTAAATTTGGTTAGCAAGATGGAGCCTGTCCTTTAGGTTGTTGCCTGTTATTCTTGGGGTAATTATGTTAGCTCAGTTGCATAAAGAACACAGATGAGCTTGCATTCTCTGCTAAAAGGGATGCCATGTCTCCCCCAGTGTAAGTCTGTCTTTTCTATTTTTGTATTCATCATTTTCTAATTGAACTGACAAATAGAGCAAAACCAGCCTTTGGGTTTAAATTATTTATAATTTTGCTTTTGACTCTGAAGCTGGACCCAACATTGTTTGAAAAACTGTACTGGGGCCAGGTATACTGCATATCTGTGTTTCTAGAAATAGTTCTGCTATTTTCTTTTCTATATTGACTAGAAGATTGATAGGGAATATCAAGAATAGGAGATAAAAAATAACATGTATTTTAAATAGGCAAAATTTTAGCTTCATGTCCCTCCTGCCCCAGAATATCCAGTTCTTTTCTAATCCCATTCTCATAAAAATGTTAACTTTGTATTGTAACTGCATGAGTGCTGTTTTTGCAGAGTTAGAGGCTTGCCACTTTGCCACCAAATTATTGTTTCTTTGATAACCATTTAATTAAAGTATTTTTATATTCTTAGATGACATTGTATTTATCTTATAAAATAGATCAACTCATATTTCCCCAACATATTTTCTGGACTGAAAGAAACTATAAATGTCATCCAGAGTATTTCTACTATCAAATTTTGTATTGAATAATTTGAAACAACTAGATATATAAGCACACACAAATAAATAAACTATACATAGATATAGTTCATGACCAAAGTAAAAATTTAAATATATTGCCTTTTAATATATTTGAACATATTATTCTGATTTTAAGTTAATTCTATAAATTTTAGAATATGTCCAAGTTCAAAATATACAGATGGATACTGAAAGCTCAAAGAAAAAGGAAATATTCACCTTGAATCAAAACAAGGCTGTTCTTGTTTGCCAAGATAGGTAGAAACCCATTCCAATCTCATGTGTTCTAAGAATCTTGCAAATATGCCAGGATGAGCATCACCACATTGGATTGTAATTTTATCACAAACACTGAAGGTTTAAGACAGCTCTTAGCAATCTTGCTAATTTTTATTAGCTTTAGAAATTAAGGCTGTAGTAGTTGGAAGAAAATATAGATTATTACTATAACACAGAATGCATTAAAAGATATATTTGTTGTATACATAATCGATTGTAATGCTATCACAGGATTTTAAAACTATAGGAAATGCGGGGTAGAAGGTTGTTTTTAGCAATCTCCATCTACTCTGGTTACTACTCTTCAGTTGATGTTAAATGAACTTCTGTATCAAACTTCCCCACATGGGTAATAGGTATGTTTATGACATATCAAGAATAAGTCAAAACCATTCCATAAAGTAATCAGTGGTGTGATTACCCCTAATTCTTAACATAAAATATGTATTGTGATCTTTCTTGAATCATATTTCTTCACTGAACAGGGTGCCTAATAATGAAATAAAGTACATTCCATTGTAATAGTTTTTCTAAAACAGCTAGTTGCATGTACAAATATATTACTGATTCAGTTTTATTGATATTTTTCAAGTATTTATCATATAGATTACTGATGAATAATGCTTGGGTAGTCTCTAATTCACTTGAAGAGGATAATTTAATAATTTAGTGAGCATGGAATTCTTGAGGTTTGTAGTTAAGTTCTATGGGTTTTTGAAGAAAGAATTGGTTTATTTTCCAAAACTGATCAAATGGGCCTCCAGATTCATCGCAGTTGTTCTGGGAATACTATGAATTCTGTTTTAGTCTTGACTGGAGAAATTTTCACACCTGTATTTCAGTAAAGCTGTCAAAGTTTTGCTGTCTTTGTTTTGTTTTCTTTTGTTTTTGAGTAAGTGTGTTGAGACTGATTAGATAAGAATCATTGTTTTTTAGTCATCTCTTTTTCTTCAACCCATTGTGCTACTACATTATGGTCTATAATTTTTGGTAAGTTTCCTAAAGTAGATTTTACATTTTTGAATGCATGAAGGGATCTAAGTTTCATTTTTTCTAACCCATATGGCAAATAATTTTCTCCTAAGAGTATGATATTGTATTATTTAATGTCTTAGTTTTACATTCTTATTTGGATTCTTAATTGTTTAGCATTTCAATTCTTTGAAAAGGGGTTTGGTTTCTAGGCTTGATTGTGACCTACTATTATCAAGTCTGAATAGCATTTTTAATTTTTTTAATTTCAGGAGATAAAGTGCAGTATAGTTCCTAAATTTGATAATGTAATATCTATTTTTTTCCTACTAGCAAATTCCATGCTATTGCTTTTTAAAGAAAAGCAGAGGCACTTTTCAAAGATTTGCCAGGCAATCTGTTGTGGTGGTTTAATATACTGACAAATGCTTTCACAAACTGCATATGTCTATAGTGTATTTAAATA